CCCTCCCTCCTCCTGCCGCGCGCGCGCGGGCATGCTGGGAGGTGGAGTCCAGCTGCTGCTGAGTCCATAGGGGTGCCCCGCATTCAGGACTACGACTCCCCCAAAACAGCGCGCCTGCGCCCTGGGGATTGTGGGCTTTGTAGTTCGACCGGGGCTCCGGGGGTCTGCCGCTCATTAGGGGGTGGGGGATGGGAAATCCCCGTTCCCAGAAGACCGGGCTCCCAGTGTCGGATGTGGGGTGTGAGGTGCCCCGGGGCCCGGGTTGCATACCTTGGACTCCCAGGAAGGTGCCAATCAGCCCAGGCTGCCTCCTAGACGCGGCTGTGCCGGCTGCAGCCGAGCCCAGCTGCAGGAGAAGCCTCCGCCCCACGTACCGCCGCACCCCGGGTACCGTTTCCATCCGTGCTCGCGAGGAGCCCTGACCTGGGGCTAGCCTGGCTTCCTGCCCGGCTCTGCCCTCCGGAGCTGCAGCTGGGCTGCAGCGGCCAGGCCCGAGCCCAGAGCGCCCCGGGAGCTGCGTGGGCGTGGGGGGTCCCCTCCTGGGGAAGGGGGCCCCAGTGTCTGTGGGTTTGCCGAAGCACTCACCTGCTGGGGCACCTCCTCAGGCCATTCTCATCTCTTTTTCTGTTAGACGCCCTCGGTTCCTTACCGTGTAGGGTAACGTGCACACATTTTAAATATTTTTCTACGTCTTCTCCTTTCCCCACTCCTACAAACCTAGCTCAAATCCGTTAGGAAGCTCTGGTCGGCCTCAGTTTCACCCTCCACGTTTCGTTTCATCCCCTCTAGCACAGGGAAGGCTGCACATCAGTGGTTCTCAAACTTGGGCCTGTGTCAGATTCTCCAAGAGAGCTTGTTCAAACAAAGGCTGCTGGCCCGCCCACCCCAGGTTCTGTTTCATCAGCTCTAGAGTGGGCCTGGGAGATTTCTAACAGGTTCCCAGGCGGCTGGGCTGGGGAACCACTTTGAGAAGGGCGTCTGTTGGTGTTGGTTGGGTAGAGTTCTCCCAGCTCAGTAGCATCTGTTGCCTCTGGGTGAGCTCTGGCCTAAAATGGGTCCCTGGCGGGGAGTGAGAGGTGAGGAGGTGGGTTCCTGGCTTGTCAAGTATCTGAGAGTCTTTTACACCTACCCGGGTAGAACCCCCTGACCACCTCTGTCCTGATGTTCCCGGAGCTGAGACCTCCGAGGGGGACTCTAAAGCTGTCAGGTGAGAAAGATTCTCTGCTGGACCAAACTTTAGCTCCTCTGGGACCTACCTCTTCGTCCGAAGGCCCCAACCTTGGTCTAAAAATGACACTCGCAACACAAATGACTTCATCCACCCCCTTCCCCTACATGAAAAGACTGACACACAGTAGCGTAGTTTCTAACAGCTCAAGGCCACATCCCGAGGACCCTCGCTCCCTTTAAAGTTCATAAAGCGCAAGGTTGCCCAAAGAATTGGCTGTTTATTCTAGCCAACACCCCGTGGTAGGCTCGTGACCACCCCTTGCTTAGAGGATTTACTGAAAAGGGTTTATAACTGTGACTCCTGCCTCTGTCCCTTTGAGATGTATATGTCTCTCCTACAACTCAGGAGTGTCTTTCCCAAGGACCCGAGAGCCATGCCCTTGAAATGTAATCCCCGGGAAGGAATAGAGCAGTGATGGCGAACCTATGACACGCACGTCAGGTGACACGCAAACTCATTTTTTTGGTTGATTTTTCTTTGTTAACCGGCATCCCAACAATTTTTTTGTTAAAAAAGTTTCTTTTTTTGTCTATTTTTTTGATTTTGGTTAACGTGTATACACGTTTCTGCCGGGGAAGGGGTTAAATGGCATTTACATATATAAAATAAATATCAGAAATATAAGCCTTTGCTTATTTATGGTTGCAAATATCAAAAAATTTCTATATGTGACACGGCACCAGAGTTAAGTTAGGGTTTTTCAAAATGCTGACACACCGAGCTCAAAAGGCTCGCCATCCCTGGAATAGAGCCTCTGTCTCCCAGTCTCTGTGGGAGGTTAGGATCCTGACCTCAATAATTTCCCACAAGCAGACACAGCCGGCCTAGTCAGCATTTACACGGACCAAACCTTTGTAATTTTTTACTTCCCTGACTCTACTGAGCCCCTGCTCACCTCCCTCTGGACTCCCTCTGTACTCTCTCATTTTCCATCTATTTATTTATTTACTTACTTACTTATGTTAATCCTCACCCGAGGATATTTTCCCATTGATTCTTTTTTCCCCATTGCTATTTATAAAAAGTCATTGATCGGCTGCCTCCTGCAAGCCTGCAAGCCTGCAAACCTGGGCATGTGCCCTGACTGGGAATAGAATCAGCGACTTCCTGGTTTTATATACTGAAATCATATTTATATCATTTTTAGATATCTGGGGTTTGGTTCAAAATAATCGATGGTTGAGGTGAAGGTATAGATACCGGATTGGCTAAATTGATAATTGTTGGAGCTGAGAAATGATGGTTAGTTGGGATTCATTATAAAATTTTTTCTACTTTTGCATGTATTGACATCTTCCATCATAAAATGGTTAACAAAAAATTTTCAGTCAGAGCTCTACCTCAAACCTAGCTAAAAACTAAAATCAATAGCCAACAAAAACCAATAGAAAAATGGTAGAAATGTTTGCAATTTACATCAGAGGTAAAAGGCTAATACAAAGTGCTTTTGCAAATCAGTAAAACGATCAAGAAACCAACAGGAAATGTGAAAGGTATATGAACAAGCGGTTCACAGAAAAGGAAACACAATGGCTCTTACATGAGAAGATGCAGAGCTTCATTTTTTTTTTTTAATATATTTTATTGAGTTTTTACAGAGAGGAAAGGAGAGAGATAGAGAGTTAGAAACATCGATGAGAGAGAAACATCGACCAGCTGCCTCCTGCACACTCCCCACTGGGGATGTGCCCGCAACCAAGGTACATGCCCTTGACCGGAATCGAACCTGGGACCTTTCAGTCCGCAGGCCGACGCTCTATCCACTGAGCCAAACCGGTTTCGGCCAGAGCTTCATTTTTTAAAATTTATTTTAAAAATTATAAAAAACAAAATTTTATCATCTTAACCAATTGTAAGTGTACAGTTCACGGCATTAAATACATCCACATTATTGTGCTACCATTACCACCATCCATCCACAGAACTGTTTTCATCTTGCAACACCGAAATTCCGAGCCCATTGAACAAGAACTCCTCACATTCTCTTCGACCCCAGTTGCTGACAACCACCATTCTACTTTCCGTCTCTGTGGATTTGACTCTGACATCATATGAGTATGAATACAGTATTTGTCCTTTATGTCTGGCTTATTTCACTTACTATAATGTCCTCAATGTTCATCCATGCTGTGGCATGTGTCAGGATTTCCTTCCTTTTTGAGGCTGAATAATATTCCATTGTTTGTGTATACATTATATCCATTCATTCCTTGGTGGACACTTGGGTTGCTTCATCTTTTGGCTGTAGTAAATAATGCTGCTACGAACATGGGTGTACAACTATCTCTCCAAGTCCTGCTCCTGCTTTCAATTCTTTTATAGTTATATACCCAGAAGTGATATTGCTGGATCCTATGGTAATTCTGTTTCTATTTCTTTGAGAAACCACCATGTTTTCCATGGTGGCTGTCCCATTTTTACATCCCCATCAACTGTGCACAAGTGTTTCAATGTCTCCACATTCCCTCCAACACTTATTTTCTCAAAGCTTCACTCTTTTTCTTTTAAATCTTCACCCAAAAGATATGTTTAGAGAGAGAGAGAAAGGGAGGGAGGGAGAGAAACATCGTTCCTTTGCCTACCGCACGTGCCCCAACTGGGGATCGAACCTACAACCTAGGTATGTGCCCCAGACAGGAATCGAACCCGCAATCCTTTGGTGCACAGGATGATGCTCCAACCAACTGAGCATCCCAGCCGCAACTCAGAGCTTCACTCTTAATAGAAGAAATGTAAGTTAAAACCACACCGAGATATCCGTTTTCGCCTATCAGATTGGCAGAAATAGAAAAGCTTGATAACTCTCTTGGCAAGAGTGTGGGGGACAAGGATTCTTGTACACTGCCAGTGTGACTGAAATTGTATAGCTTCTATGAACAACTTGCTAATATCTTACAATTACACATGTACACACCATTTGATTCAACAGTTTATATGAAAGTATCCTATTTGCACATGTTTTGGTTACATATAGAAATAGATAGTTGTTACACCACTGTAAGAGCAAAGATTAAAAATGATCTAGCCCATGCCTTAACCAGTTTGGCTCAGTGGATAGAGCGTCGGCCTGCGGACTGAAGGGTCCCAGGTTTGATTCTGGTCAAGGGCATGTACCTTGTTTGTGGGCATATCCCCAGTGGGGGGTGTGCAGGAAGCAGCTGATCGATGTTTCTCATGGATGTTTCTACCTCTCTAACCCTCTCCCTTCCTCTCTGTAAAAAAAATCAATAAAATATATTTTTTAAAAAATGATCTAGCCCAGTTGATGTGGCTCAGTTTTTGTGTGTCAACCTATGAACCAAAAGGTCAGGGTTTGATTCTCGCTCAGGGCACATGCAGGCTTGATCCCCAGTGTGGGGCATGCAGGAAGCAGCCAATCAATGATTCTGTTTCATCGTTGATGTTTCTATTTCTCTCTCCCTCTCCTTTCCTCATATATTTAAATGCTCTAAATGCTGATGTTAAAATTAAAGATTGAATGAATAGAATTGGGGAAGCTTCAATTGATGATGTCTTTCGTTGTCATTATTTCACTAGGTAATAAACTATTGGAAAGCAGGGGACTGGCTTTTGTAGGTCCAAACAGACCTTCAAGAATATATTAATTAAATAAATGAAAAATTACTTCTTGGCCTCTGGCAGGAACCCCCGTTGAAGAACTGGCAGGAGGTCAAGTGACTTGCCCAAGGTCATTCATAAAATATGTACCACCTATTCCTTATGTGCATAGCACAATGGTAGGCACCTTGAAGTATACAGAAATCAAAGAATTGGACCCTCATTTCTGAGAGCTTGAGATCAAGTAAAACCCTCTGGCAGATATTAAAAATATCAAGCTTTTTAAGTTGTCCCTTTGATTATATCAATGGAGACCATTGTGCTGATGGATAAGTTGATGCACAGATCAGAGAAGCAGTTTCTCCAAGGACAGAATAAAGGTGCTGGTTAAAGCTGAAGTCACCCCTTCATGTGTGCCCCATCCTTAGCACCCTGGAGACTCATTTCAGAGCACCCACTTTCCACAATGTCCCCCACACCTGATCGGCCTTCTCCAGGTTGTGCTGCGTTACAGATCCTGAGAGAGGCTCTTCTAGAAAAGGGTTCCCTGGCTTAACATGCTTGTTAATGCTTTATATCTTGGCCTATGTTTCCCATGCATATAGGTATTTTCCCCTCCCCTACTGTTGTCCATTGAGAAGGTCTGA